CTATTCCTATGTGTTGTTGTTGTTGTTAGATGCTGTCATCTCTGACTCACAGCAGCCCTATGTACGACAGAACGAAACACTGCCCAGTCCTGTGCCAGCCTCACGATCCCTGCTATACCTTAGCCCATCGTTGCAGCCACTGTGTCAATCTATCTTGTTGAGGTCCTTTCCCTTTTTCATTGACTCTCCACTTTACCAAGTGTGTTGGTTAAGTTTGTGTGTCAGCTTGGCTGGGCCTGGTTGAGTGGCTAGGCAGCAGGATGCTGTATTCCCCACGATGAGACTGGCAATCAACTCCATGGTGGAATCTACTGTGAGTAGCTGCCTTTGGGTATGCTTCCCATATATAAACAGCAACTTTGGAAACAGTCTCTAGCTTATGGCAGCTTGGACCCTGTATGTAGCCATGTCATTGTTCAGCAGCCAGTCACACTCTGCCAACCTTGGGATTTTCAATGGACTTGAATGAATGGCCTGCTGTGTGGTTTGGTAACATCGGGACTGTGCCTTTTTACTTGTCAACCTTGGGCTTGTCAGTCTCAGCAGCCAATAGCTGTCTGAGTGAAGAAAAGCCTCTAGCTCCAGTGGGCTGGAAGAAAGAAGCAGAATTGAAACCCAAGGTTGAGGGGCTTTCATCCAGCCCCCTAGAGCCTGGCACTTTGAACTCAGACTTAAAGCCTCCAAACTGGAAGAAAATAAACTCCTGTTTGTTAAAGCCATTCCATTTGTAGTATATTCTTGTCAGAGCAGCACTCTGGCAACATGATATTCTTCTCCAGAGAATGGTTCCTTCTGACAACATGAGCAAAGTAGGTGAGATGAATTTTGATCATTCTCATTTCCAAGGAGCATTCTGGCTGCAATTCTTCCAGGAAAGATTTGTTATTTCTTTTAGATGTCCATGGTACTCTCAGTATTCTTTGTCAGCACCACAACTCAAAAGCATCAACTCTTCTTCGGTCTTGCTTATTCATTGTCCAGCTCTCACATGCACAAGAGGCAATTGAAAATACCATGGCTTGGGTTAGGTGCACCTAGTCCTCAAGGAGACGTGTTTGCTCTTCAGCACTTGAAAGAGATCTTCTACAGCAGATTTGCAAAATGCAATATGTTGTCTGATGATTGCTGCTTCCATTGGTGTTGATGATAGTACCAAGTAACGTGAATCTTTTCTCCATTTATCGTAATGTTGTTTATTGGTCCAGTTGTGAGGATTTTTGTTTTCTTTATATTGAGGTGTAATCCATACTGCAGACTATAATCTTCAGTTTTTATCAGTCAGTGCTTCAAGTCATCCTCACGTTCAGCAAGCAAAATTGTGTTGCCTGCATATCTCAGGTTGTTAATGAGTTTTCCTCCATTCCTGAAGCCATGTTTTTCTTCATATAATCCAGCTTCTCAGATTAGTTGCTCAGCATACAGATTGAATAAGTATGGTGAAAGGATGCAACTCTGACCACTCCCTTCTTGATTTTTAACCTTGCAGTATTCCCTTGTTCTGTATGAATGACAGACTGCTGGTCGATGTACAGGATCCTCATTAGTACAATTAAATTTTCTGGAATTCCCATTCTTCTCAATGTTATCCATAATTTGTTATGATCCACACAATCAAATGTCTTTGCATAGTCAATAAAACACAAATAAACATCTTTCTGGTATTCTTTTTCTTGAGCCAAGATCCATCTGACATCAGCAATGATATCCCTTGTTCCATGTCCTTTTCTCAATCCTGCTTGCATTTCTGGAAATTCTCTGTCAATATGTTGTTGCAACCGTTTTTGAATTATCTTCAGTAAGATTTTACTTGCTTATGATATTAATGATATTGCTTTATAATTTCCAGATTCTGTGGTATCACCTTTCTTTGGAATGGGTACAAATATGGATCCCTTCCAGTCAGTTGGCCAGGTAGCTGTCTTCCAAATCTCTTGGCATAGCCAAGTAAGTGCCTCAGGCAGGACATCTGTTTGTTGAAACATCTCAATGGGTATTCTGTCAATTCCTGGAGCCATGTTTTTTGCCAATCCTTCAGTGCAGCTTTGAGTTCTTCCTTTGATATCATTGGTTCTTGATCATATGCCGCCTCATGAAATGTATGAACATGGACCAATTTTTTTGGTACAGTGACTCTGTGTATTCCTTTCATCTTCTTTTGATGTTTCCTGCATCATTCAATATTGTGCCCATAGAATCTTATAATATCACAACTCAAGGCTTAAATTTTTCCTTCAGTTCTTTCCGCTTAAGAAATGCCGAGCATATTCTTTCCTTTTGGTTTTCTAACTCCAGGTCTGTGCACATTTCATTATAATAATTGGCTTTGTCTTCTTGAGCTTTTCTTTGAAATCTTCTGTTCAGTTCTTTTATCTTGTTATTTCTTCCATTTCTTTAGATACTCTCCATTCAAGAGCAAGTTTCAGAGTTTCTTCCAAAATCTATTTTGGTCTTTTCTTTCTTTTCTGTCTTTTCAATGACCTTTTGCTTTCTTCATGGATGATATTCTTGATGTCATCCTACAATTTCTCTGGTTTTCAGTCATTGGTGTTCAATGAATTCAAATCTATTCTTTAAATGGAGGGATTAGGTAGGGATATGGTCAAGGTCATATTTTGGTTCTTGTGGACTTTTTAAAATTGTCTTCAACTTCAACTTGAACTTGCATATGAGCGGTTGATGGTCTGTTCCACATTCAGCTCCTGGCCTTGTTTTGGCTGAAGATATTGAACTTCTCCATTGCCTCTTGCTAAGATGTAGTCAATCTGATTCCTGTGTACTCCATCTGGTGAAGTCCATGTGTAAAACTGTTGCTTGTGTTGTTGAAAAAGGTATTTGCAATGAATAAAACGTTGGTCTTGCAAAATTCTGTCATGTATTCTGTAGCGTTATTTCTATCACCAAGAGCATATTTTCCAACTACCAGTGATTCTCCCTTGTTTCCAACTTTTACATTCCATCCACCAGTGCTAATCAACTCATCTTGATTGCAGTCAATTTCAAACTGCTGAAGTTGATAAAAATCTTCAATCTCCTCATTTTTGGCTTTGGTGGTTGGTGCATAAATTTGAATAACAGTAGGATTAACTGGTCTTCCTTGTAGGTATATGGATATTATTCTATCACTGACAGCATTGTACTTTAGGATAGATCTTTAAACTTTCTTTGTGACAATGAATGATACACCATTCCTCTTCAATTTGTCATTTCTGGCATAGTAGATCATATAGTTGTCTGATTCAAAATGGCCAAAACCAGTCCATTTCAGCTCATTAATGCCTAGGATATCTATCTTTATACATTCCATTCCATTTTTGACAGCTTCCACTTTTCCTAGGTTCATACTTCATACATTCCATGTTCTGATTATTAATGGATGTTGGCAGCTATTTCTTCTCATTTTGAGTCATACCACATCAGCAATTGGAGGTCCTGAAAGCATTCCTCCAACCATGTCATTAAAGTCATCTCTACTCTGAGGCGGCAGCTGTTCCCCAATCATATTTTGAGTGACTTTCAACCTGAGGGGCTCATCTCCATCACTATATTGGACAATGTTTCAGGGTTACTCATAAATTTTTCAGCAATATATCAGACAGTGTTTCACTGTTATTCATAAGGTTTTCATTGGCCAATTTTTTGAGAAGTAGACAGCCCCTTCCTTCTTCTGAGTCTTAGTCTAGACACCCCGCTGAAACCTGTCCACCATGGGTAACTCTGATGGCATTTGCAACACAAGTGGCATAGCCTCCAGCGTCATAGCAAAATGCAAGCCACCACAGGATGACAAAGTGACAGACAAGTTCGTCTCCCTTAGCTGTTCCAAACCACTCCACTCACTTCCTGGCCTCCCTTAAAGCTGCTCCAAACCATGCACCCAGCTCTCTGCCTTCCAGGATGCCCTTAAGAGGCTGCCCCCAAACACCCCCATGCCCAGCTCACTGACTTCCATCTTCCACCCTCCGGCCTGCCCTTAAGAGGCTGTCCAAAGACCCCCATGTTCCAACTCTCTGCCTATATAGGTATATACAAATTAATTATATATTCTTAGTGCCTAAGGCATTTGAGGGAGCTCTGGTAGCATAGTGCCTAAGGCACTTTTCAAAAGGAAGGTTGGGCAATCTACTTCCATAGTGATATTGCCTTGGAAACCCAAGAAGGGGTCGCTATGAGTTGGGTGTGACTCAATGACACATAACAACAACAAAGGCATTTGACTGCTAACCAGAAGGCTGATGGTTCAAACCCACCAGCCAGTCCTCAGAACAAAGACTGGACAATCTATATCCATAGAGATACTGCCTCAAAAACCCAAGGAGGGGTCACTATGAGTTGAACCTACTCTACAGCAGTGAGTTTTTTATATTATGAGAGAGTAAAAAGTTAGTATAAGAAAATTACTTCATGTCATCACTAGTGCAATAAAAAATCCCTCAATGGCTATTCTTCATACTAGCTTTTATACATACATATCTGCTACCATTCAAGGCTGATTTAGAAATATGAAAAATCCTAGGTGTTAGTTACGATATAAAAATATAGTACTTTGGTTATGTTATCAGGAGGGACCAGTCCCTGGAGAAGGACATCATATTTGGCAAAGTAGACTGTCAGAGAAAAAGAGGAAGATACTCAGTGAGATGGATTGGCACAGTGGCTGTAACAGTGAGCTCAAACCTAGCAATGGTCAAGGATGACACAGGACTGTGTGTTGTTTCATTCTGTTGTACATAGGGTCACTATGAGTCAGAAGCAACTCAATGGCACCTAACAACAATAGATGAATCTTAATATTTTTCTCCTCTGTAGTCAATTAACAGTCTAAATTATCACTACTCTAAACATACGGTATGATCATGAAGATAGCACAGGGTGGAGCAATGTTTTGTTTTGTTATAAAGAAGATTGCCATGTGTCAGAGCTGTCTTGATGACAACTAACAATAGCATTAACAAAAACACATGATATTTTACTATGAATGGTTTGTGTACAAGAAGCACATTCTGTTCATCTTTGCTTTGCAGCATTAGGCACAGAGTAAATATTTATCAAACTGAATTTTAAAAACATCAGGAACTCATAGTGCTATCTGACAAAAACTAAGCAAATTTACACTGATAGCAGAAGTTAGTTTTCATGCCAGTTTATTTCAAACACTATGTTTGCATTGAAATCCCTAGATTGAGATAGTAAGAGTATTAGGATCAAAACTTTATCTAATGTTGAAAAGTTAACATTTCTTTAGGCTGTCAACTGCATGAAAGACTAATTCAATAGCTGTCTAAAACAAAATTGTTTATCAGGTTAAACTTTTCTAAAAGGGCCTTTTCATCTTCTTTTTCAATACTCTTCTCTCCATTTCCAGTCCACATTCCTCTAGGATTGAACTATACAGAAGCTTTCTATTTATGGGACTCCTTCCTCATTCAATAAAATCTCCAAAGCTTCATTCAGTTTGACATCATAGTGGAAAACAGCTAATAAATTAATTTCAGTGGGTTATTCTATAGTTTCCCTTCCTAAACATGGGATAACAGTTAACCTATCTACTCCTCTCCGAAAGAAAATTATTCATTAATTCTGAACCATGAGGAATCTGTCACAGACTGGTGAGGGAAACATTTTGGGACAGAAGACATCTTACAAGTGCCCCTTTTCAGGGTGGTTGGCTCTGTCTTTATACTTTACTTTTACCATGAAAAGATTTTTATACTCAGTTACTTTTGAAAATGCTCACAAATTCCAGTTAGAATTTCATACATCTTTATGAAGTAAATTATTACTACACCTTAGAAGACTATGAGAAAACTTAATGAGTTTGGCCTTTATAACTAGAAAAATCCAGGTTTGAATTCTGGCTCCGAGTAAGCCTGTTTCTTCATCTATAACATATAGGATGTAATGGTTATCTCACAGGGCTGTTGTGAGTTAATGTTTGTAAAGCCTTTAATATAGTGCCTGGCACATCTAAGCCCTCAGTAAACTATAACTATTTTTTACAGCTTTTTTAATTTATGGATTTAAGTTAGAAATTTCTGTGAATCTCAGCTTCTTCATTTGTGAAACATGGAAAATACCACCTCAAAGTTTTTAATGTGCCTAACATAAGTATTTGTCAAGCACTTAACACAGCAATGTTAACACTTAACACTACAAATGATATTTTATAAATCAAACCAAACCAAACTCACTGCCACTGAGTCAGTTCCAACTCATAGTGACCCCCATTGGGTTTCCTAGCTGTAAATCTTTATGGAAGTAGATTGCCCCATCTTCTTTCTGTGGAGTGGCTGGTGAGTTTGAACCACCAATCTTCTGGTTAGCAGTCAAATTCCTCATATGGACAGTGATTGTCACTGTTAGCAATAATTGTCTTATCATTGTCATCATTCATGACAAAGTTGTGTGAGGAAAAGTAGTAAAGACCAACAGAGTCTCTTGGAACTTTTGACTAGCAAGACTAAGTTCTGAAGCAGAAAACAAGGTGGAAAACAAATTTAATTGAAGTTACTTAGGTCTGACTCTTATTTTAGAACTTATGTTTTCTTTGATGTTTTGTTTTCCCAAAGGAATGAAGAGAGAGGAAAACAAAAAAAGATTGATAAAATTTGGTATATATTTTAATGATTCAGACCTTAAAAAATAAGTAACCTGTCTTAACATCATAGATGTAATTATATGTGTGTGTATCTGTGGCCATGAATATGGTTATAAGTTCTTGTTCTTAGCTTCTAAAGCAAATTTTTGCAAAAGAATGAATTTTGAGTAAATATTTTCTACTGCTTTTTCAACTAATGATTTTCCAAAGTAGCTATGCTACTAGTTTGCCACCTGTTCATAACAGTATCAAGAAAACAAAACAAAACCAGGAAATTTGTTGTAAGGATAGCTTTATAGCTTATGAATTCACAAACCACTGGGAAAAAGTACATCAAGAGGAGTCACCTGACAATTTGGCTTTTCTTTCTTCCTCAGAACTACAATAATAATAATAATAAAATCCCATAGCTGATTTGTTAACAGATGGAGATAATTTTACTTTGAAGTAGTGCTTTATAAACCAACTTGTCTTTTGCAGCTGGTGTTTTACCAGACACAGTCATCTAACTTGTATAGCTGAACATTTCTCCTACAAACTCAAGGGAATGAATTGGTCATGTGAGTAACACAGGTGCTTCCTAATAGCCTAGATTTCTGCCAAATTCTTTACAGTAAATTAGTTCTACAGTCTAATGAGCTAAAATTCTAATCCTTTCTGAAATTGCTATCCTATAAAATTATCTGTTAAACAGAAAACATTAAAATTGGCATTCTAAGAGATGTACTTTGAGATGTATTAGAGAACACATGTAACAATTTTTACCATCAGGAAAGTTTGTGCAATCACAGTTAAAAGTTTTCTTAGCCACTTCCAGGTATAAACTATCTCCTAAAACCTGAATAACTGCATATTGACTCCAGTGTTAGAGTGCTCTAGTTTGACCATTCTATCTCAATCCTTGTCTTCTAAATATGAACTTTTATGGAAGTGTTCAATTTTTCCCCAAAATATAGATTTTTCTGACCATACAAAAGCATGAATTTCCATACAAATTCAAAATGGAAATGAGTTTACTAAAATTAGAATTTCACAACTTGATATAAACTCCTTTCCTTGGTTCTTCCTCATGAATAAATATAACAAATAAAATACAAATATAAGTAAAAAAACATAGAGTTAAATTCATATCCCAAGTATAGAAACTCATTGCATTTGATTAAAAACCACATCCACAGCAGAAAATGCAGTATTTCCCGTAGCTCAATTGCATAGAAACTGAAGTGCAAAAGTTGTACTAATTTAGACCACTTTACAAGAGATCAGGCTGCTGCTTTCAGGCAAAATACAGTCTTAAAGAGGTCTTGAGGTTTTGCTTTTTTCAAGCAAGATAGTAACACAGTGTTCATATGCAAATAGATCAAATATTCAATCTGACCAAAAAAGGAGTAATACGAAGGAGGGGGAAAATATTAATCAATATTTGTGCAATCTAATTTCATTTTCAAGAATATTGATTATGTTTTCTTTTACATATATGCTAGATATAATTTTATTCAGTTATATCCTTTTGTTTTAAAAGTGGAAGTAGAGAGTTAAAGCTATTCTGTATTTAATGTGACACTCTTTTATTTCTAAACCCTGCATAGGACAAGTGCCCTCACCAGTATGTACTGAACAGAAAAATTCCCTTTCTGCCAGAGTTCATCTAAATTCACTGACAAAAATGGCAGCCATAAGTTTTAATTCTTTTGGGTTCATCAAGATAGCCCATTAAATTATAAATCAAGCAAGTTGTAACTAGATAACCTATTATATTCTGCCCTATTAGCTGAAAATCCATTAACTCCAAATGTTAGTCTACAAAAAGCAGAAAAAACACAAGGTTAAGTTCAAACAGACATTCACTGTGTAAAAGTACTCTCTCTTCTCCACCCCCCACCCACAGTCAGATATATCATCTAACATTCTTGCCATCTGTTTAGTGCACATTGCTAGTGTATAAAGACAAGTGTCTGTTCATACAGAGTAAGTGGCAAGTGAATGAAGCCTACTGCACCATGGTTCATACTAGCAATGTAGCCACAATATCATAATTTTAATTATTTCCTCTGAGTTACTCTTTCCTTTTCACTGTCTTATTCATTGTCAATGTCAATGTCTTCATATTTAATCTAGAACTACTGATATTTATGGGATAGGCAGATTGATCCATCCACCAGCTTTACAAAGTGATTATACTATTAGCTTGCCACTTGGTCATAACAAGTTCAAGGAAACAAAATCAAACCAGGAAGTTTGCTGTAAGAATAGCTTTATATCTTATAAATTCACATACTACTGGGTAAATTTCATCGAAGTCACTTAGATATGTTATTGCTAAAATAAATAAATAAATAGTATACCCAGGAAGAACAGCAAATTCAAGAATCAAAGGTTCTATATATGCTTTTACATGAAAGATAGTCATTATTGGCCTGGGCTCACTTTTTAGCATTGCTTATATGACATTTCCTCCTTATCCTTGGTTCAGATGTTTAGCCTCAACAAAACACATAGCAGGTGCTGATCTGTATTTGTGTGATTTTTTGTCTTCTAAGTGGTATCATACTTTTTAAATTATTCCATATATTTTTTAATTAAACATACTCTGCCTCTTGCCGGATAGTGATGGAGTAGTTTCTACAATCACTGCCAGGCCTCAGGATCATATTTCCCAGTGATGGATTCTTCTCTAACATCTCAGTTGCTTCTTTTCGGGACACTGTATAAAAACATCTAGAGATAAGAGGAAAACAAACAAACAATATTTTGTTTGACTTTTTTAAAAAAACTGATGAAAATCATTACATAAAAAGTGCTACTACAATAACTTTGAAATTTGCAGTTACTAACTTTTCTCAAATCTTCTGGCTTTAGTGTAATTGTTGTTGTTGTTAGTTGTCACTGAGTTGATTCCAACTCATGGCAATACCATGTGTCAGAGTAGAACTGTCCTCCATAGAGTTTTGATGGTTATGAACTTTCAGAAGCAGATTAACTGGCCTGTCTTCCAAGAGCCCTTGGGTGGTTTCAAACCACCAACTTTTTGACTGATAGGCAAGCCCTTGACCATTTGTGCCACCCAGGGAGTTCTTATGACTATTAGCAGACTGCCACATCTCTCTCCCATAGAGTGGCTGGTGGGTTCAAATTGCCGACCTTTAGGTTAACACCTGAGCCCTTTAGCCACTGTGCTACCAGGGCTCCTTTTGTTACAATTATAATCATGTAATTATAATTATACCTATTCCAAGTCTACATCTCCATGAGTATGCTAATGTTAAGGCCTTCTACTCTACATACCTCCAGAGCCTCTTCCTTTGACCAAAGAGGGCTTGAAAATTTTCTATTGATAAGTGTATAATCACCATTACCATATGAAAATTTTAAAAAATAATTAGCAATATATTCCTGGTCTCAGTGTTTTCAGGATTTGTTGGTAGGTTCTTTTCAAGGATACAAAACATCTCTATAATTGCTTCTCTTGTATGTCTCTATTTTAAACTGATGTATAAATGTATATCTGAACTCACTACATTTGTATAATATGGCTTTCTTACAGCATTGGTGTTTTAATGCACAAAATTAAGAATAAATCACTTCTCATTTTTATGATACGTATTCCAGTCATTGAAATGTATAGCTGCAGGAAAAAAAAAAAAAAAACCTGACAGGATAGGCAACGCACCAAAATATTAACAGCAATTACCTTTGAGTAATTGGGACAAGGAATGATTTTAATTTTCTTTTCATTTATCTGTAATTAATATATAACCAACCCACTGCCTTCGACTTGGATCCAACTCATAATGACCCCTCCTTGGGTTTCCGAGGCAGTATCACTACGGAAGTAGATTTCCCAACCTTCCTTCCAAGGAGTGGCTGGTGGGTTTGAACCACTAGCCTTCTGGTTAGCAGTCAAATGCCTTAGGCACTACGCCATAAATTACTTTTAAATTGAGACAAGAAAGAAAAAGAAGTTCCCGTGAGCTACCAGTCCATCAGCTAACACTGATTTTAGCTAAAAGTGATGACTGGCATACCTCTGTGCTTTTAATACAGATAGAATAAAAAGCAGAACCTGATGTCAAAGATGGTACCAGGACAAGTTTCACTGACAAATAAACCAAGATTTCAGGAGAAAAGGGTTTTCTGTCTCAGTCAGTTTTCAACAATATAAGCATAAAAGACATAGGTTGCTGAATTCAGCATGTTCTATGCTCCCCCCTCCCCACCCCCACCCCCAAAGTACAAGCTCAATAACTACTCAGTACTTGGTCAATTGAATAGAACATTCACTATAGTTTAAGTTATTTGGTATAATTTTCCGGTGGAAAAATTGTCAATAATAGAGTTGTATAGTGAAAAATATCTTTTCTTTCTTTCTTGGTAACAGGTTTTATTTAGATTTGAGCTCTGGAAAGAATATCTATTTGTCTAAAGGTGTGGGTAGAAGGGGATTTCCTGTGTGGTAAGAGAGTTGGTTCAAATATATGTTTTGTTGATCATGACATAGAAGAGGAAATGTTGCATGCACTCAGAGATAGGCGATTTATCAAGACAGCTTATGAGTATGTCAATGTTTTAATGAATTCAAGTGGTTAATTCCCCTCGATAACCAACAATTAGTATGTAACAATTGAGTGAATAAACTGTATTTGTCGTGGACTTACGCTGGCATAGGATTCAGTACATCCACATAATCTTCAATTGTTTTCTTCTCTGTTTCAACAGATGTACTAGGTATCCGCTCTGTCTCAACCCTCCTTTTCTTTTCTCTTTCTAGGACTTCATGCAGTCTAATTACTTGCCCAGGTAGGAGTGACACGTGCTGGGGAACTGACAGCTGAAACCAATGAAAAGAATAACCAAGGAAGACAGCCAAGTAATTAGCTGATTTTAGCAAAGATGGGCCTGGTCAGGCCCTAAGCACCTTCAGTTACCTGACAGAGATGAATGGGTAGAATCACCAGTAAAAGTTCTTAGTCTGATTAGGTGTCTTGGCCTGCCTCTAAACCAACTAAACTCTGAACAGGAAACATTCCTTGGTTTGTTCCCAAAGCAGAGGACCTCATCTTGTGGTTGTTGTTCTTAGTCACCACTGAGTTGATTCCAAATTGTGGTGACCTCATATGTGCAGAGTGGAATGGCTCCATTGAAAGGCAGAAGCAGATTTCCAGGCCTGTCTTGTTTTAATGCACCTCTAGTGGGTTGAACTGCCAATCGTTCAGCTAATGGTCAAGTGCTTAACCGTTTGCACCACCCAGGGACTCCTAATGAAACATCTCAAACCAAAAACTACTACTTATTAAGTGGCAATTTGTCCCCAGCATTTTACATGTGTTATTTCACATCCTCACAGCAATGGTGCAAGAACAGTTTCAGAAAGATTAAAGAAAAAGTCCAGGGTCACATGGTAATTTGTGAAACAAAGACTCAAACATAAATTTAGATGATTCAGAAGCAAAGTCTCTCTTCTTTCAACTACAGTCAGTACTTCTCAAAATTTCCACTAAAGTTCTCCCAAAAACAATACAGTATGAATGTACACACAGAGTGATCTGGGATCATAGACAAAACCAACATTTATAGAATACAAAATCCAAGGCAACTTGTCTTCTCATAAGGAGCTGTGGTGGTGTAGTGCCTAAGGCATTTGACTGCTAACCAGAAGGTTGGCGGTTCAAACCCACCAGCCACTCCTCAGAAGGACGATTGGGTGATCTACTTCTGTAGTAATGCTGCCTCAGATATCCAAAGAGGGGTTGCTATGAGTCGGATCCTACTCAACAGCAGTGAGTTTGGGGGTTTTTTGTGTTTCGTCTTCTCATAAAAAATTCACATTAATTTTATTTTAAATTCTGTAATAAATTGATAGTCCCGTGGTTATAAACATCCAACTAATGGACAACCCCTACTTGCCGTTTAATGTTATATAAATTTACCCTTACTTTGAAACAGTTGAACAATCCCTACTAGCAGGAAATTCTTCATTTCAGTCACCTGTACTTGCTGCATGTGCAGCTTTTAAATAATTGAAAAGGCTTGAGCCTTTTCTTGCACTAAAGTAAGACTAAATAAGAACTGTATGCATCTGTTCCAACTTATCTACAAATTCAAATTCAGCTAGGAACAGATGTTGTTCCTAATTCAGGGACTGCCTGAATCAATGTATATTTTAATATCAATTAATGCTCTTTATCCTCTGGTAGCATAGTGGCTAAGACACTTGCCTGCTAACCAGACGGCTGGCGGTTCAAACCCACCAGCCACTCCTCGGAAGGAAGGTTGGGCAATCCTACTTCCGTAGTGATACTGCCTCGGAAACCCAAGGAGGGGTCGCTATGAGTCGGGGCCGACTCGATGGCACATAACAACAACAACAACAACATCCTTACCTCAAGGAAAAAAAAAAATTGAAAGAGAAATCTTGAGCCAAAACATCAAGTATAATTAGTATACCAGGAAGGTGCACCAAGGTTTATCTCATAGCTTTAGTTGTGGCTGTGGATACTGAAAACGAAGATGGAGTTACTTGTGCCCAACCTGGAAGAGTATGGCTGCTACCTGGTTTCACAAGGCAAAGATTAAAGATAATAAATAGCCTAAATTTTAGAAACAGTAATTAGCTTTTTTTTCCTGTTGATTTATGTATAATCAACAGACCCTGCTCTATAACTCCTCCATTCCAGACAAGCAGATGTCTGGTTATCTGAGAGCCTGCTGAGCATGGATTGCCCCTTCAAGCCTACAATAATTGTCTTCTTAAACAAACTAAGGAAGTTCTGGTAGCGTAGTGCCTAAGGCACTTGACTGCTAATCTGAAGTCTGGCAGTTCAAACCCATCAGCCACTCCTCCGAAGGCAGGTTGGGTAATCTACTTCCAGAAACCCAAGAAGAGGTCGGTATGAGTCAGGTCCGACTTGTCTGTGCATAACAACAACAAGCAAACTAACATTTCAGAAAAGAAAAGATTTCAAAGGACATTTTAATGAACCACTGAAAACCACTTCAAACCACCTGGACTTCTCAGACTCTCTTTGTTCCTCTTTAACTGTATAAACCCTGATGCTGCCACATTTCTTTGGAACATGAAGTTTAGGCTGTGGTGCATCAATCTGTGAATCATTGGTCAAATATTAAATCTCTAGTATTTTAAAAAACAATTTCCTTTCTCAGAAATTATTTTACAATTTGCATTCCATGACATCTAAACACATACTCTTGGGATATTTGTACCCTAGTTTGAAAAGCACAGTGATGTCTCTCCATAACAGAGAGAGAGAGAGAGAGAGACAGACAGACAGAGAAACAAAGAACAGTTCTCCAAAGAATTTCTCCTGACTTCAAGTCAATGTGTCCTTCACATCTTTAACTGTCCCCTACCACCCTTTCCAGCCTCCTATGACTTCCCTAGGAGCCCTGGTGGTGAAATGGTTAAGCCCTAGGCTACTTACTAGGAGCTCTGGTAGCATAGTGCCTAAGGTGCTTGACTGCTAACCAGAAGGCTTGCGGTTCAAACCCACCAGCCACTCCTCATAAGGAAGGTTGAGCAATCTACTTCCATAGTGATACTGCCTCCGAAAACCAAGGAGGGGTCGCTATGAGTCGGGGCTGACTTGATGGTACATAACAACAACAACAACAGGCTACTTACTAACAGGTAGGTTGATGGTTCAAACACCCCTGAGAAAGGTTACAGCCTAGGAAACCCTACGGGGCAGTTTTCTTTCTTACAGGGTCACTATGAGTTGGAGTCAACTCGTTGCACACAACGACAACAACACGACCTCCCTATAGGGTAGTTGAAACTCCAAATTATACTTGTTACTACTTGAGATCAAGAACCAGCAGCTACCCATCCATCCATGTTGGTAAGGGCAATGCTTTTTTTCATATGACTGCAAAGCCTTTACTTGGAAACTAGCTTTGGATAGAATCTATGCTTAATTCTAATAAACATGGAAAGTTCATAGCTTCTAAAAATATTAAAGACCACAGTGCTTTTCTGGATGCTGATTATCAAAGTACCTCATGTGTCCATGACAGTTGTTAGAGTAGCTTCATTTAAAATAATGACATTATCTTGCTGCAATTGTTAACTATAAGCAGTAGATCTTACTATTTGTCTTGACAAAATGCCACAGAATTGCACAGATAAGCATCCCTTTGCTTTAAGATTCGCTAAACAACTCCTCGGAAGGAAGGTTGGGCAATCTACTTCCATAGTGATACTGCCTCGGCAACCCAAGGAGGGGTCGCTATGAGTCCTGGCCGACTCGACAGCACATAACAACAAAAAACAAATATTTAAAGGTGACTTTCATTTTCTGGTCTCTCCTGTTATATTGTCTAGAATTTTTTACTAAATTGACCTCAGTTAGTATTTTATAAATATACATGAAGTAAATAAAAAAGGAATTGGAAAATAGTGCCTAAGGTACTTGACTGCTAACCAGAAGGCTGGTGCTTCAAACTCACCAGCCACTCATCGGAAAGAAGGTTGGGCAATCTATTTCCCTAGTGATACCACCTCGGAAACCCAAGGAGGGGTTGCTATGAGTTGGATCTGACTCCACGGCAGTGCATTTTTTTTTTTTTTTTTTTTTTTTTTTTTATGTAAGCTACAAATATCAGAATTTACAAAGGACACTGTTCCCAAAGAATAAGACCAAAACGTAGCTATTGCTGACTACCTATTATTCTCTATCACATTGCCCTGTTTATTTTCTTCATAACAGTATAAAATTATCTTGTTTGTTTACTTTTTTTATTTCTCCCTCCTTCTTCCCTCACCTCACCAGAATATAAATTTCATGAGTGAGTGAAATGAGTTTTGACTGTCCTTTATTTGCTGTATCTTCACCCTCTTTCACTATGCATGACTCATAGTAGTTATTCAGCAAACATTTGTTGAGTGAATGAATGAAGCCAAAGTAATGGCCATCCTACCTCTGTTACTGTAAGAATGAAGCCTCTCCATTCTTCCCCACTTTCTGTGTTCTCTGTCTAAAGATGAAAACAAAAACAGCTACAGAAAATACTCAAGTAACTATGAACATGAAAACTTTTGTTAATTTAAAAAACTTTAGAATTTCATATGATTATTTTATGACTCAAAATACATAATTCATTAAAATTCAAAAGATTGACAAAACTTGTATTCTTCTGCTGAAGCACATTGCTTAAAACATTTTTTTTAATCACTTAAAATCAGTTGAAAGGAAGAAAAAAAATATTTTCCCTTTTCCTGGAACAATCAATGAGTATTTGTTATGAAATATTTCAATACTATTTTCTTTTGTCAAAAGACAGAAGTACACCATGAAACCAGAAGAACTAGATGGTACCTGGGTATCATTACTGAATATTTTGATCAAAGATTCTATAGAAGCATCTTAATCAAATGGGAAAAAAGATAGTACAGAATTTCAAATTCTCATGGAATCCAGATTTTCTGAAGCCATTGAGACCCCTGAAACTTTTGCTCTGAGATAATCTTTAAATCTCAAACCCAAAAATCCCCAAGTCTTCTAAAAACCAAACAATAGTTTAGCTTAACTAGTAAAGAATATCTACGTTGAGCATTGTGCTTTTTTCTTTTTTTATTAGGATTTGGGTGTAGATTTACAGAGTAAATTCACTTTTCATACAGCAGTTCACATATACTTTGTCTCATGTCATTGACCAAAATTTACAATGCAGCAGCTCCCCTCCCACTTCCTCCCCATAGTTACCTCCTCCCAGTGTCCATCCCTTCATACTCTTCGAGAGGCCCATTGTCTGCCAACCCTGTATATGATCTTGGATACACTCTCCATTTAGACATACATAATTGTTTAGCTTGTTCACCCATCTATCCGTCCCTATACCCATGTTTGCTTTCATTGACAACTCAGTATTGTATTTACAAAGGGGTTCATATTTGTTGTTTGTACTGCCCAGAGCATTGTGCTTTTTAAGGTCTATGGATCAAATTCACAATAGTAACTTAAAAGATTAGATAAGAAGCTTAGGGGGTAGTGAGTTTATGTTAATGGGGGAGGAGCAAGGGGAGTGAGATGGTTGCACAACTCAGAGAATGTAATCAATGTAACTGAATTGTACATGTAGAAATTGTTGAATTGGTATATATTCTGCTGTGTGTATTCTCAACAACAATAAAAAAATGATAAAAAAGACAGAAGTATGTAACTTTGATCTGTTTGTTTGCTAAACAAGTAAAATTGTGTAAATTTACTGAAATAAAAAAAATTAAATGTTAGCAAACATCTTTGCTGTATGTAAATTTATTGTTTCTCCACTAATGACTGCTGACCAGAAGTCTGGCGGTTCAAATCCACCAGCTACTCCTAGGAAGGAAGATTGTGCAATCTACTTTCCTAATGATACTGCCTCAGAAACCCAAGGAGGGGTCACTATGGGTTGGATCTGGCTCCTCAGCAGTGAGTTTTGTTTTGTTTTTCTCTTTTTGGTTCTGCTAGTGGTATTAACAATGACTGATTTTAATTTTAGGGTAATCAGGAAGGAGCAATGCAGTTAGTCCTTAGATACTTCTGGTTCTTAGCAGTTACTACTACTGCTATTATTAATAATATCAGCTAGTATCCATTGAGTGCTTTTAAGTGTTCTAAGCACTTCACAAAAATTAATTGGTTTAATCTTCATGATGAATCTCTGAGAGAGGTAATATTTTTTTATTTTACAGATTTGTTCATTCAACAAATATTTATTGAGTACCAGGGACAATTCTAGGTACTGGTTTACATCAGGAAAGAAAGCAAAATCCTTGTTCCCATGGAGTTTAATCTAGCAATAGTCAATAAATAATAACCATAATAAGTGAGTAAATGATATAATGTTAGAAGTAAATAAGTACTATGGAAAAATGAAAAAAAAAAAAAGACCAGGGTAAGAGAGAATGAGACTGCCAATGGAAATGAGAAGGGGAAAAGAGCTCTAATTTCAATAAAAATATAACCTCACTGCTGTAAGCCTCAGTGAGAAGGCTACATTTGAGCAAAAACTGGCTTCAGGGGAGGAAACTAAGGCACAAAGATCTCAAGTAACTTGCCAAAGATCACACAATTATTAAATAGACAGCCAGAATTCAAACCTTGGCAATCTGATTCCAATTCTGTGCTATTAGTCACCACAACATGATCATCTAGGGAGTTTCCTTAAAATTCTAGATTCCTGGGCAACAATTTCAGGTGGGGACCTGAATTTCCTATGTAAAAGTGATTCCTATTATACTAAAATTTAGGACCCAGGCTTTCAAAATCAATCCATAATCTCCTGAGAAAATTTCCAAATATATCTTATTCAATTGCAAGTTGTCTTTATGTTATTGCTCTAATTGTTGATTTAATTTAATTGGCTCACTTCGAATGATGATTCAAGAACTATCTTTAAAAAACACCAGGTGGGATCCCTGACTTTGTCAGAGGTCAGAAGTATATTGTTTCAACATGCTTGTATACTAAACAAGTGAATATGCCCTTTTAAGTCCCAACTCAGAAAACTGTAGTTCCTGGCAAAGGGTAAGAAATACTAACAAAGTACAAGACTTAATGTTCCTCCTTCAAAACCCCTTTACCTCAACTACCCAAAAAAGAGGTGAATGCTATTTACAGTCACAGCTCATTACAAACTATTTGTTTCTCTTCACTCACCTTCAGTTGCACTTCCTCTTTTGGCAAAACAAGGGTGAATTTTGCACAATTCTTTTCAGTTGAATTCTGATCAGTAAGGCAAGTAAGATCTATTATGTCTAATTTGTCAATATACTGCAAAATATAAAGGGAAATCTCATTAACTCATTTCATGGGTTATATACAATCATTCTAAAGGAAGGAAAATAATTAATAATTAATATCTTCCTTTCAATTTATCTATATTTTGCATGATAATCTGGTTCTCAACTTGGAGTCAGTCATTCCACTCCCCAATCCCAGAAAAGCTTTGGCATGCTGGTTCATACAGACTTACAAAAACCAATTATTAATTTTCACTGGTTTTTCAAACCAGATGTTAAATACAACCACTATTAAAACTTAAATTATATAAAAACTAAATTACATAAATTACATACAAACACAATTACATAAATTACATATATTATTAAAAAAAGGTAATTAAAGCTCAAAACATATCACTTTCCAATTCTATTACCATGTTTTGTTATTCTCTATGCTATTGAGAATACACCCTTTTAAGTCCCAAGGAAAGAAAAAAGCCAGGGGGACCAGGACAGAGCAAGGAGCCAGCTGTAGGGATCCAGGTGATGGGAGGGCACCCAGGCCATGCCATACAAGCAGCAAGGCGGGAAAGTGGGGGAAAGGAGAGAAAAAGGCCGGGGGGACCGGGACAGAGTGAGGAGTCTGCGGTGGGATCCAGGGGAGGGGAGGGGATCCAGGCCACACCCCACAAGAGGAAAGGTGGGAAAGTGCAGGAAAAGAGAGGAAAAGTCCAGGGGGGCCAGGACAGAGTGAGGAGATGGCAATAGGGATCCAGGTAAGGGGGGTTGGAGAGGTTTTGAACAGCTAAGGGAGACAAACTTGTCTGTCGGTTTGTCCTACTGTGGTGATGTGTTGCTGTGAGTCTTGAGGCTGTGCCACTGGTGTTTCAAACCCAGTGGGATGCACATGTTGCACAAGTTTCAGTGTGGCTTGCAGACTGAGACAGACTAGGAAGAAAGAAGAGGCCATCCACTTCTCAAAAATTTGGCCAGGAAAATCTTATGAATAGCAGAGAAACACTGTCTGATACATTACTGGGCAACCTTATGAATAGTCTGGAAAGATTGTCTGATACAGAGGAGGAGGATGAGTCGCTTAGGTTAGAAGGATCTCAAAATACAACTGGGAAAGAGCTGCATTATCAGATTAAAACCAGCCTTATTGACATGGATAAGGTAAAGCTTTCCAGATCTCCATTTGCTGATGTGGCACAACTCAAATTGAGGAGAAACAGCTGCAAACATCCATTAATAATCAGAATGTGTAATGTATGAAGTACAAATCTAGGAAAATTAGAAGTTATCAAAAATGAAATAGAATGCATAAAGATTGATATCCTAGGCATTAGTGAGCTGAAATGGACTGGTTTTGGCCATTTTGAATCCAACAATCATATGATCTACTATGCCAGGAATGACAAATGGAAGAAGAACAATGTGGCATTCATCATCACAAAGAATGTGTCAAGATCCATCATGAAGTATGATACTGTCAGTGATAGGATAATATCCATACACCTACAAGGAAGACCAGTTAATACGACTATTAGTCAAATTTATACACCAACCACCAAAGCCAAAGAAGAAGAAATTGAAGATTTGTATCAATTTCTGCAGTCTGAAATTGACTGAACATGTAATCAGGATGTGTTAATTATCACTGGTGACTAGAATTCAAAAGTTGGAAACAAAGAAGAATCACCAGTATTTGGAAAATCTGGCCTTAGTGACAAAAATAATGCTGGAAATTGCATGGTAGAATTTTGCAAGACCAATGACTTATTTATTGCAAATACTTTTTTCAACAACACAAACGGCAGCTGTACATGTGGACTTTGGCATATGGAACACACAGGAATAAGATTGACTACATCTGTGGTAAGAGGCTATGCAAAAGCTCAATATCTTCAGCCAAAACAAGGCCAGGAGCTGATTGTGGAACAGACCATCAACTGCTCACATGCAAGTTCAACTTGCAGT